TTTTTTGTTGGGGGGGGGGGGGGGTTCGTTGGTACGACCAGCCATTGCCGTTCTTCTTTTTCGGGCTCGCCATTCTATTACCTGCTTTTGCATTTCCATAAGGGTTTGAGTAGCTTCATCCACGCTGCCAACCTCAGATGAACCATCTTTGCCCTTCAACTCGCCTCGATGAACGACCTCGTAGTCGTTAACGGATCCTTCCCTGGACGATATTTTTCCGGCGAAAACCCTAGAACTATTGAAATCCGAACATAAATTAGAAAGATCAAGAGTTTTTTAGGCTCCTAAGCGGTGGAAGAGAGAGAAAGAGAGGGAGAGTACTTGAATAGGGATGGGGCGCATTAACCAAGTTCAGTCCCATCAGAGGGACAAGATTGTAACTTCCACTGGGTTTTTTCTGAAAAAAGATACTTCGGGGCCTCGTCGCAAATACTGTGCGTATTTGGGGCTTATACACATGGGGCAAAATACAAGAGGGCTCATCACACGAAGTTCCCACTTTTGGAGCCTGGACACATTTTTCCATTTTCTTTTTGTCAGGGGCGCAAAAGTAGACTAAGAAGGGGGCTCTAATCTGTAGACGGGTGCAATGAAATGTCTATAATGGCCCCCTGCTTGCATCTGAATAGTCCAGGGCGCCCCGCACAGGGCATTCTGATAGGACCCGAACTGGCAAAAGCAAGAGCATTCATTCTCAGCTCATTAGTATACACAGACCAGATAATGCGAAAAAATATCGCTTTCTTGACAAATACGCAGCATAGAACTTTAACAATTATCTCCAGAACATTTTTTCTCCTAAGGGCAAGTTGGTTTTTTGACCAAAAGTTCTAGATGCGAGGAAAATACAACACAAAAGTTTATCACAGTTGTAAACAGCTTTGCTCCCGTGCATTTACAAGGGTCAACCTGTCTGATAAAGCACATCACAATACAGCAGAGGACTCCACGATTGAAAAAGTATGATGCTCTTCTAAGAAATATTCATCCTTTTTGAGATACAAATACGCAATATGTTTGTCCAACATAGACCTTAAATAGATATGCAAACATATTAGCTCTCACCGAAAATCTTCAAGGAATCTACGTTTATGACCTCAGGATATCTTTTCGCTAACTTCTTCTTTCTTTTTCCTTTTTTTTATGTCAACTTTAGTTTTACTATTCTCATCAAGTTGGTGATAATTGGGGGAAAAGTTCGTACAAAAAGAAAAAAAAGAAACGTTAAATAGCTGAAGCATCTTGAAAACTTCATACTAGTTTCATATACATGTACAGTTATAGATATATGAATGTACAGTTATAGATATATGAGGCTATGGTGTATAAAAATGCACTATCTCAGACCAAGAAGGTATTTACCTTTCCGGTCAGCAGCAATTAAACTATCTAACAACCCGAAAAACTTTAAACAGCAGAAGATGTACAATTAAGATAAATACTAAAAACCTCAAACTTCCTCATGACAAAATTTTCCATGCATCCGGTTCTGAACAGCTTTGATCGCAGCAACACGAGCAGCAGTGGCTGCCTTATTCGCAGCAGCGACTGCCTTGTTTACTTGTTCTTCTACCCTCGGTGCAACAACAGCATACTTTGCAGCTTTTCTAGCAGCCTATTCTCAAATATAACAGTTTAAACTTTAGAATTGTACATAACACTTGGTCTAAAGAAAGGTCCCATGACTATAAAGCGGAGAAAGCCCTCATGAACATTCAAATTTATACTAAGCCCCACTGAAATGTGAAAATCACATAAAACAGAAAATAATGCATAAAGTAATAAGTTTGAATTATGACAAATTAAAGTCTGTGATCAGAACTTTGAATAAAGAGCATTCACATGGAAGAACAAGACATAACGATAATGTCACATTTTTAACCTTTTACTCTACGCAACATTGTTAATGAGATTTTCCAATAGTTCAGAGTTTAATATAACTTTTGAAAGTTTAGGAGGTTTTCTCTAATCTATAACGTCAGATGGTTTTTGTGCAAAAACCCCCAAGATTTGTGGTTTTTATGAGACTTACCTTATAATGAACTACAACTAGAAATGTAAAATGCAATAGATACCTGAACTGAATGGTGAAGGGAAAGGTCTGATGATGGTAACGAATGTTTTAGGACTCCACAGTCCCATTCTCCAGACTTTGTTTCTCCATTCCTGAATTTGTAGGAACCAAACCCCTGCCTTCGACCTTCATGCCAGGCACCTTCGTAACGCTGGCCATTGGCAAAGTGGTAAACCCCAAAACCATTAATCTTATCCCCAAAGTACTCGCCAACATATCTATCTCCATTCCTACAAAAGAGAAAGGAAAAACTTACTAATTGAACAAATACTTGTGCTAAAGCCAAAAATTTTACTTGTTTGTGTTAAAAGCATAAAATTATAACCCTCAGCTATCACCAAAATCCCAGAGTTTTGAGGCAGTGGAAGGGAACTTACAATATTATTAGAATGACTTAGGTTCAAATCTCACCAACCGCGTATTAAAGCGATCTTAGAACAGGTGTTCCAACCAATAAAAAGGCCTCAATCTGTGGGGCGTTGTTAAAATATAAAATTATAACCCTTAAACCCTCACCATAATTCGTAGTTTTAGTGCAGTGGAAGGGATGACCTTTAGTATGCAGAATATTCAACTGAACCCAGTCAGCCCTCTTAATTTTAGGAAGAAATAAAAATATGCTAGAATTTGAATCGTAAATCATTGATGACAAATGCATATTCGTAGCTTAAGTTTGAGTAATATACATTTGTAAGATTATAATAGAACTGAGAAAATTGAAAAAACATTTTGATGGAGAAATGATAAATTAAACAGAAATGTTCTCTATGTCCACAGTATTAACAACCATTTCCAATAGTCACTCCCGCAAAAGAATCTTTTGAAACAACCCATGTTATCAATAGTATTTTAAAGTGCATAACCAAGATTATCAGAAAGTACTAATTGTCAATAGTTTATATTGAACATGTAACATGATGCTGTTTTGGTCACATAAACAAAGGTTTATGAAATACAATACAGTTCAACCAACCCACAACAATAGTATCATAATGTCCTGATTGATCATTAATGAAATTGCAGATTTAACAAGGGGGGAGAAACCTATTCAACACTGTTGTTTCAGCAATGTCATCTCATAACTTCAAAGAAGCAACTAAATTTCTGAATATTAGACTGATATAATCTCACAGTAGTACTAATTCAAGTCCCAGTTAAGATTACACAATCAAAAGATTTATGAAGGCACCAAAAGAGCATTGCAGACTTACCAGGAAGAGAAAATTATATCGAAGGCTCTTCAGAACACACATTCAAACATAACAAGCAGAAGACCTTCAATAAGTGCTCAACAAACACAGGTTTCTTGAGCATGGTTATCCAGAAAGTTAGCAATATGTACAAATAATATGACCAAGAAAGAACTTCTCCACTTGATCAGTTGCCCAAGACAAACTTTTAGCAACCAATCAAATAGGGCCTTAGTAATTATATAAGATGGGGGCACTTTCCACCCTGATTCCATTCAACAATTACACAAAGGAATCCAAAAGGGAACTAACACATTGACAGAAAACTTGAACTATCTAATAAATCAAACAAGCAACACCCAATTCTATAACATCCAATGAAAACAACTAACAAATCACAATTTTTCTTTAAAACAAAAATTCATACCTGAAACTGTAGTAACCAAGGCCATGCTTGAACCCACCTTTAAACTCCCCAACGTAACAGCTCCCATCAGCACAGCTCTGCACACCCCTCCCATGGCTCTGCCCACCCACCCACTCACCCGCGTAGCTATCTCCATTAAAAAACCTGTAAACCCCAAATCCATGCCTGAGCCCCTTTCTATGCTGCCCTCTGTATCTGCTCCCTTTAGCCCAGCTCTCAATCCCATACCCATCATACTTCCCGTCGACCCAATCCCCTTCATACCTCCCCTTTCCAAAGAAATTATAAACCCCGCTCCCATTACAACTCCCATTATTGAACTCCCCTTCATAGAAATCTCCATTACTGTAGAACTCCACTCCTTCCTTCACAAGCTCAGATTTTGGGCACAACCCACTTGTCAAAATCCTCTCTTCCTCGTCGCCAATGAACCATTGGACCGACTGGGCCGATTTGAGTCGGCGCCCGAAGAGGAAAGGCCTGGTTTTTTTGAGGACGAGGGAGAGGAGGGCGACGGAGAGGGAGAGGATGAAGAGGTGGGTTACGGAGAGGGTGAAGAAGAGGAATAAGAAGAAGAGGGTGAGGATGAAGAGGAGAGAGAGGAGAGAGAGGGAGAAGAGGAGAGAGGGTGGGTGAGGATTTGGGTGCGGGTGGTTTCGGGTCTTTTTAGCGTCTTCGGGGATCTGATGATGATGGTGTTGTCCATTGAGGGAGGAGAGGGTGTGGGTGGATGAGCGGAGGAGGGAGGAGGGCGTGCGGGTGAGCTTGGGATTTTGGGTTTTGTCCATTGATTTTTTTTTCTTTTTCCTTTTTTCCCCCCCTAGCGAGAGAAAGAGAGCATCATCTCATTTGAATTGATTGAAGAAGGGGGGGAGGCAGAGAGGAGAGAGACCACAAGTGTTCCAACAACGGGTCGTGACAAATGGGAGTTGGGTCGGTTTTTGTTTATTACCGGTGGGTCTCGTGCCCTTTTTTTCCCTCTTTTTTGCGTATAAATCTGGAAGAACCTCTAATTTGCCAATAAACACATAGACATATATCTTTCGAGTTTTTATATGTCCACGACAATTTCATTTATTGAAAGCAACCCCTGAATTATTGAAATTGCTCATTACTTCCTATCTCCTATTAGTCATTTAAAATTAGTTTCTCTTTTTAGTTTTCTGTTTGTCTTAGCTCATTTTGCGATAGTGATTAAGCCAACATGCTTAAATTGTTTGGATGTCCATACGTGAGTATAGTTCAACATTCAAAATGTGAAGAAAAAATAAGGGATCTAAATAGAAAGTTGGGGTCAATCCATGGCAACTTAAGTTTTTTGGGTTAATTCGGTTCTAGACTCTATTTAAGACCCATTAATTCTTGGTTGGCTCTAATTATTCCCTTAAATTAGTTATATTTTTACCTCGCTTGTTCATCTCCCTCCAAAAAATTGAAGGAAGAAATAATAGTTAGACAAGTAAGAAAAAAACTGGATTTGAATTTCAAGAGGGTTTGGGATTCAATCGGGTTTAAGAAATGTGTTTGGATTCACATTTAGTTTAAACTGGGAGTATAACTGCAAACACATGACACAAGATTAAATTAAAGAAAATATTCCTCCAATTCAGATGATATCGAGCTACATAAACAAATTTAAAATAACTTATAGGAACTGAGAAGTAAATTAAAATTTCAATAATTAGAGGGAGTAATTTAAAACAATTTCGGAAAAAGCAAAGGTTTTTAAGGTCGGAAGCAAATCCATTAGAATCATACTTCACTTTTTATAACCAGTTTTAGTATCATATTTTTTATGAAAACAAATTACTATTACTGTAAAGAAGTTTGATTGATGTATTTTATTCTTAAATACATAAAATCTAATCTAAGGTCTGTATTTATTGAAATTTTGTATCATTTAACAATACATTGTGTAAAAAAATAAAAAGTAAAAAAGTAAACAATAAACAATAAAAAATAAAAATAAGTCATGTAATTATATTAGAAACTAATTCTCAAGGGGCTGAATTTCTATCTCCTATGATTATAGTGATTTACTTCCAATCTTCTTTGAAGAAGAAATCCAAAGATCTTTGAATTTTTTTTATAACCAGCCTGGAATCGAACCCAAGATTGTGAAATGCCATATTAAAATCTCTCATCCATCTAGATCAACTATGGTGGGTTGAAATTTTAAACAAGGGAAAGAAAACTAGACATGTCAGTGAAGAGTTAATTATTGAAAATATTTTGATTTTGATTTCAATAATTGTAGAGACTTACTTTAATATCTTGTTAGAAGAAAGAATTCAAAAGATATTGAATTCCTTTCTCACTTTTTTCCTCCTTGTGGGCACTACTTTGGGGACAATTTATTGTTTATTGTAAACTTGTTGTTGAAATAAATGAATCTTAGAGGGTTTTTATGGAAAGATATCATTTAATGATTGGATTCCATAAATAAAAATTAAAATGTATTTAATAAGTAGTATGTGAGTTCTAGTCTCACAATGGCTAATTGAATGTATTTTAGTTGGTTCAAATTAATACACGTGTTATATAAGGTATAACAAATGTGTTAATATTATACACTTTTGTTGGTATATAAGCGAGCATGCGAGCAAGTGCGCGGGCTCGGGTGTGCGGTCCGGCCGTGCGGTCCAAGTGCGTGGTCCGACGTGTGTGCTGACGCGTGCTGTCTTTAAACGAGCTTAAACGTTTTGCATGTGCTCACTTAAAACTAGCTGAACGTTTCATACGTTACAAACTTTACATTGAATAGGTTTTGTTGTAGACGTTACAAACATTGCAATAACTAGAATTCAAATCTATTGTTGGCCTTTTTGGTTTGATGATGTTATAACAAATAATTTACAATTAATATTGTTTGTCTAGTGTTTGTGTTTTCTATTTATTGTAGACAAACAATGAGTTGGAGGTTGGATGGATTGCGCCACAACAATCATATCAAATGGAGGTTGGCAGAAATAGTGGATTGAAGCCTTGCAATTCAAGTTGAAAATCCAAGTTCAAGCTTCGTCCATGTTACCAAGATAAAGCTTCATGAAGATCATTGCTTGGTAAATTAGTTTAGGTTTTATATTATGTGTGTTGATACTTTAAGCTCTAGTTATATATATACATACATGTTTTTGTTTTCAAGTTTATATAAATATGAAATTACATATTTCATATTTATTGTTTTGATTTGGTTTAGCTTTATAGATATGAAACAAATATACATTCATATACATACTTTATGTTTCATATATTATCATTTTGTTAAATGCATATTGTGCAAAACTTCATTTTTGCATAATATTGAGTTTTTAGTTTATAGACTTAACAATAATAGTTTATATCTTTAATCAAGTCTATAAAATTGTTTTACAAAGTTTCAAAACTTGATTTATGTCAAAACATCAAAATTCAAGTATCTCATGTTTTTATGTTTTGGACATATTTGTAAAATAATGATATTTTACAAATGGGAGGTGCTATTTGAAAACCAGTTTTTGTAACATGTTCATTTTCATGTTTACAAGCATTCCCCAAGTTTTACATTTTTTAGAATTTATTTTTTATTTTAAAGGCTCTTCAAAAATTAGTTTTACTATTTATAATAGGCTGATATTGTGTTATCAGTCGACTGATGAAAGTATTTAGTCGACTGATGAAAACGCCTGGAATCATCAATAGTTTCTGTTTTTATATTGGTCGACTGATCAGTCGACTGATGAGGTCTTTAGTCGACTGACGAAGTCCTTCAGTCGATTGATGACGTGTTGTTGGCCCGTAACGATCATCTAATCAGTCGACTGATGAACAATATCAGTCGACTAATGCTGTAACGACTACTTTTTTCCAGCTTTGTCCTGTTTTGGTTTTTTTGTTTTTTTTTTAGGTTTTCTTGATCTTTGGGGTTCCCTATATATACCCCCTCATACCCAGCTATGTTTAACCAACCAAGAGAGTTTTAAAAAAAGAGTTTAAGTGTGTTTAAAAATTGTTTAAAGTTTGTTTAGCTTGTTTAAAGCTTGATTTATGAAGATATTTTCACAATAGAAAGTGGAGATCAATTCTTGGTGTTTAAGCTTCAATTCATCTCTCCTACTCTTGTCATTTTAGAGAAGTTTTATAAACTCCATCTCTAGTAATTTACAAGTTTGATTTTCATTTCCATAAGCTAGATTTTCATATTGAGTTTAGTTTATTTTTATTTCTCTTTGTTCACACACAACTTATTGAGCTTATAGTATTTTATACATAGTATAATTTGGGGTCGTGGGTTTGTGACATTGAGAGTGAGCTTACATTGAGTTCTCATCTAGTTAGGGAACAAACATTTGTATTTGTGAGCCTTTATTGAGATACATTTTATAATACACTTGTACACCGAGAGAAATGTGTGGTGAGAGACAGAGTCGTCCCAAGAGGAGTAGCGTCGATATTAAAGCCTAGGGAGAGGTTGTAAATCCGAGCACTTGAGGGAGACACGGGCTAGAGATCAACACTTAGTGGGTATAGAGTGGGATTGCAAGAGTGTGGATTGTAAAGTTTTCGGTGAGTTAGAAAACCGAGTGTGAGGTGTAAATGTTGTTCGGGTAAGCGTTGAAAACCTAGTTGTGTAGTGGATTCTCCTCGGGAGTGGGGAGCGGAGACTTAAGACAGAAGGTCTGAACTCCGTGATCATTTTGCTTATTTGAGTTTGGCTTGGCGCACTTATATTTTTGTTTATCTTTAGCGCACTTATATTTTTGTTTATCTTTATTGCCGTTCTCTCATTGCTTATTTCATCCACTATATTGTTTATATCTTGGTTCACCCTTGTGTTAGTTATATATCATTGCATATATATCTTATTGTATATCTAATTTGCTAGGATAATTTGTTAAGTAAGTTTTAATTGGCATTAAATTGGATTAGATTAGCATAAACTCTATTCACCCCCTCTAAGGTGCTTTCATCTTTGTCTCTCATGAACCTTATAAAAGGGCTTCTTCTGATTATTTGAAACATATAGAAAAATGAAATCTCTTGTCTTCTTCTTCTTTTAATAATTCTATAAGCTGTTAAGTATTGAAGGTTTTGGCGAACTGAAGAAGTAGTCGTGGTGTTCACAAGAAGAGAGCGTTTCTGTGGGCTGCAGTCATCTCATTCTCGGAAGTACTGTGCAGACCCAACGCTACCGTAGGTGGGGCATAATTTCTTCAAGGCCAGTCCTCTGTTAAGAGGGTGATTCGGCACTTTTGTAAAATATTTTAAACTTGAAGAGTATTTACTATGATGTTTCTTACTTTCTGCTCTTTTCTTTCCTTTCTATATAGTTTGTTTTGAACTATTTTGGATTGTTTTTATGCTTGTTTTTCCCAACAATTAGTTTCTTCAATTTTGTAGGGAAAAAACAAGAATAAAATCAAACCCAAACTGGCAAGAAACTTAAAAATATTAAGATATGATAGATGTGGAGAATATACATCAAATGAGTTTACTCTTCATGTCAATCTTTTAGCATAGTGCATGAGGAAACTGCTCTGTATTCTCCTCAGTCTAACGGTGTAGCTGAACAAAAAAATAGACCCTTAAAAGATATGATTAATAGTCTACTTTAAAGTTTAGAACTTCCTAAATATATGTGGGGAGAGGATTTGAATACAACTTGCCATATTCTGTATAGAGTCCCTCAGAAACATAAAGAAAGTAGTCTATTTGAACTTAGGAAAGGACGAAAGACAATCTTGAAATACCTTAAAGTGTGGGGGTGTCTAGCAAAAGTGTTAATCTCATAACACAAGAGGAAGAAGCTAGGTCCTAAGATAGTAGACTTTATCTTTTTGGGTTATGTAGAAAATAGCTATGCTTTGAGATTCTTAGTGATCAAATCTAAAATCCTAAGCATAGATGTTAATACAATTTTGAACTTCAT